CGTTTACAAACATGTATTAAGAAAAAAAATATGGAACGATTTGCTTACAGTCATTTTAGAGCGACGGCAAGCGTATTGATACAGACAATACAAAATGACCAATTAAATTGACAAATAGAATGCTTTGATCAACAGCGGCAGAATTGTTCAGTCCAATTAAAACGGATGCAGACGTGCGCCGTTGCTCTCACCGGCAACAGCATCCATTCTCTTGATTTGATTTATGGAGGATCTTTGTCACAATGACAGTGCACAAATAGAGGAGACAGACCCATCTAGGTGACGTGTGAAATGGATAACACAACATCTCCTGCATTCCAGATGCCCTCTGCTGACAATGATGATACATTTTCTTGTCTGCATGCTACACATGACCACCGATCTTCTTTTAGTGCAAGATGCACACGAGCATTACTCCTATTGATGGACCAGCCAAGACGCTGCCGGTGTTATTTCAATGCACCGGTGTCGAACTCCAGGCCCGGGTGCCAGATCCGAGCCACCACATCATTTTCTGTAGCCCACTTAAGCAAATAAAGGACATATATTTGACAAAATGCGTTTGTTTTTTTTTTTTTCATTTCAGCAGAGAAGCAATAGTATCTTCGTAACTCATGACCATAAATACTATATGATGTGGCCTGCAATGAAGGCTGGCTTTTTTTTAAAAAGACAACTCACGACTCTAATTTCCACTAAGAAACAAACATGATGTTGAAAATCTTGATGAAAATGGCCATAGATGCCTTATACATTGACAAAGCAGAGATTTATTAACATGTGGGAAATTTTTGACCCGAGGTATGTGAATCCAATGCATACATGTTCCGCCCTGCCCCACCTGTTCGACTCAAGATGAGGTTTGCCAATACACATCCGTGTTTTGTCAATATGTTTTCCAAATGATCTGTCAAGGCCAAAACAATTCAAGTATTTCTGAGGATGATCCTGCATCAACGTCCACAAAAATAACAGCAATATATTTTTGTTTAATATTAGAAAAAAAAAATTGTTTCAAAGCTTATTCAGTATCAGGAGCAATAAAGCAAATTGCCCAAGGGGGAAAATTTGACTGTACAATTTTGGGGAATAATGTCAGAAATAATGTCAATATTTAATCAGGAACAGTTATTCACATGCAAATTATGGAAATCAACTTTTAATCTTTACAAAGTTTGAGAGTTATTTCCTTGGTGTGTGACTTGCTGTTCTTGTCTACTACGTCACCGGGAGCACAGCGCTGTCAGACAGCTCGTTTGTCACTCAAACACGCTCGTGGGCACCGCTGGTCTGTGCCGTAATTCTTCATGATGTTATGCCTTTTGCCTAGCAGCAAGTACCTGGTCAAAAATGTGACACAGCTCAATGGACTCCATTGCCGCATCTCTCAGATAATTCAAATGTTATTTCAGTTGTGGAGTTTTTATATCAAATTAGGGATGGACATAATGATTAGACGACCGTTGAGAATTCATTCAATTGTGAATCATCGTCTTCAAGCAATGGAGGAAAATGGAGAGCACCGGCAGACATGCTGCTGATTCACTCGTCTCAACTGCTTTTCAATCTGAAGAAACAGGATGTGAGCGAAGTTGAACCACATTCAGTCAACTATTAGCAATTGACAACCAGTCAAAAATGTATGTTGATCAATAAAAGGAAACATGCATGCAGAACATTCAGAGAGAAATTCTCACATGCCAATGAAAAAAAAACAAGAGACAGTATTTCAGTTTTACTCGTATGCAGATGCCTGAAATGGTGGGAGCCTCATCATTTTTGTTTTCCTATAAAAACCATTGAATTACCTTTCCCCAGCAATTAGGATTATGTGTGTGTGGCAAAAGAGGATTTTTAATGGCACTTTGTCCCGGGCTTTCATTGAGTTGGACAAATCTCACCACAGCACCGACGCTGATTCGCTCCACATTTCCCTATCGACCACCTGACAGACACTTTTTCACCCCGTGAGAGATTAGTATTTAACACGCAGCAACTGTAAGCCCTCCTGCATAATTAAAAGTAACGGCAGTCATTGCTGGATGGGGAAGCAAAACGCTGGAAACAAAATGAACTGTGTCGAAAAAAGCTGTGTGGAAAGGGGTCTATTTGGGACAACATTTTTCCGGATGCTATACATCTTATATCTTACGGGTACCAAAAAACACGGCTATAATCTCCCCAAACACAGGCAAAGGGCTATTATCATCCAACAACAGCAGCAATGTACACACACACACACACACACACACACACACACACACAAAACAGAGGCTGGGAACACAGCTCACATCCCCACAATAGATCTGGAAGACCTCATTAGTCTCCAGAGCTGGAGTCGAGTGCGGGCCCAGGCCGACGCTGTTGCCCTGTTGTGCCAATAGCGACGCAAGGTAACGTGTGAATTAATGGCTAAATGGAAATGTGCAAATTGTTTAGTGCAGATTGGGCCTACCTGCATCTGTCAATGATGCACTTGCTCATTATAAATTGGCTGCTGGAGAGGAAAAACAAACAAACAAAAAAAGCTAGCCGCTCTATTGTTTACGTGGCCTTGCCATCTCTGTGGAGAATGTGAACTGCTGTGTGAGAAAAGGCCATTGAAACATTGCAAAAGCACACGTGGGCAATCAATGTTTTTTTAAATGGAAATCAAATGGCTGAAATATTGATGAATGCACCGGCGAGCTTTACATAGAAGCCGGGTGAAAAATGACTCGAGAAGAATGTTGAGGCAAATAATGAGTTTGAGAAACTATTGGTGGCCTGATGAGGAAAGAAAAGCACATGCATTATGAACTGCCGTACAAGAGTAAAAGAAGACGAATCCATCTAATCGAAATATATGTAGGTCTACCTGTGGAAGAAATTGCAAAGCATGTAGTCTCAGTGGCCAAAATGCACACGATTATTGGGGATCAAGACAGCCGCTTACAAAATATCCACAGTCTACACTCTCCATTTATAAATGATGTGATTTCAAACAATACTTAACCAAATTCATAATTACAAATGTCGGATTGCCAGTGGATGAAGTGGAGGAGTGTGTCGTCTCAGTGGCAAAAGTGCATGCGAGTATCGTCAGTGGGCGGTCAAGGCAGCCACTTCAAATATTCACACTCGCCACTCCCCAATATGTAGATGATGTGATTTAAAACAATACTTTACAAGATCTTAATATGTATAGGCCTGCGTATGAAATAGTGAAGCATGTAGACTCAGTGCCCAAAATGCACTCGAGTAAGTAGCGCACAATGTGTCAGTGAAGCGGGTGATCAAATGTGCATAGCGGGGATAAAAAGAGCACAGATCATTGATCTGTTTTAGTGAATGAATCTATTGAATATTGAAAACTGTTGAATATTGAAAATTAAAAAGCAAAAGCATGTTGATTTCATCATATTGATTCATAACGTTTGTACCGGTGGCCCAGTCGGGCCAGCATCAGTTCAGTTCGGATGGCCCGACAGTCACATGGTGGCCCGCGGGTCAGCGGGCCAACATTGTCGGATAAGGTTGACCTTTGAAAAAAAAATCCGTCAGTGACCCCAATTTGTGCCTCTAATTTGATATACAGTACAAGAAACCACCACACCTGAGGAAAAACAACCAATCAGTGACAGAAGGCATGACTTCCAACTTCCAAGGTGTCAACCATGAGTTTGGACAGACATACATCGGTGTGATTTTCAAAATAAAACTTCTTTCAAACTCTAATTTGAAATTTCAAAAAAAAAAAAAAAAATTTTTTTTTTTTTTTAATTTTAATTAAATCAGTGTCTCTGTGCTGCCTGGTTCCAAATATGACGACCCTCTAGTTGGGGACCCCCGGATCTAGTGGCAATATTACAAAACATCTTGTCTCATTGTATTTTTATGCGGCAAAGAATACCTCAACTATTTTCAATCATACTTCCACCGCTCTTTTATGAGACATTTTGTTGTATTCGTTCATCTGATCAAAGTTTTATCCTTCCAATGCCCTCCAGCGATCAAGCTGCTTTTACTTTTTCTTCTTTTCCCTTTTCTACTCTGGCACTGCTTTTGTCACACCAAGAAATCATGTTTCCTTTCTCTTTTCCCTGTAACTACTTTTGTACAGTAAGTTGAAAGAAATGTATAAGAAAGTGGTTGCCATGCCAACCATGTTCACCACATTCATCCGGTATTCTGTCGGTGTGTGCGTGTGTGTATGAGTGTGCGTGTGTGTACAAGGCAGAAAAAACGGTTTAACAAAGCAAGACAAAGTGAATGGTAATTACACAGGGTGGGGAAAAAGTGTCTAAACTGTAGACTTCTGCTGGAGAGCTTGTCTCCCCAACCCATCTCTAACACACACACACACACACACACACGCACACACACACACACGCACACACACACGCACACACACACGCACACACACACGCACACACACACGCACACACACACGCACACACACGCACACACACACACACGTCTTAATCTTCGAGACTTAATCTTGAAATTTATCAAACTACATAATAATATTAGAATCATTTTGCCAAATCAGCCTGATTTGGAAGCCTGTAATAAAAGTCGTGAAGTATCCTCTTAGTTCACATTTATATGAAACTACTGTCACTGGAAGAAATTCCTTGGTCTCATAAATATGTTGATATAAGCAGCGCTCAACTCATCTACTGTACAGGAAGTAAATATCATTGAAATGATTCTTTCGGAGTGCCGTTTTTTTTTTGACATGTTCGTCTCTAAGACAAATATTTGTCGGAAAATACACAGGGTTTTTTTTTCTTGATGAGCAGCAAAGCCATTTTTTCAGTTTAATGTTCGATGTATGTCGTGTAGTTATAAAATGAAGCTAACCGCAGGTAAAGCTAAAAAACAACAAAACAGACACTCTTGATTTTAATGTGGATGTCACTTAACTGTACTGTATATTAAAAACCAGTCATTCTGAAAGTGATTCAACCACTAAAGAAATGTTGGTGACAAATAATCAAACTCTGGAGCTGTCCTACCTTGGCTGCCATGACCATGGAGGAGCCTCCGCGGATGCCCAAAATTGGAATGTGAGTCTGGGCCGAGATGAAGTCCAGGATCTGAGCGATGGCCTCCTGGTCCGTGTCGTCGCCAAAAACCACGCCTTGCAAAGAGTTCCTCGACATTTGTGTACAGATCCGATTGATGATGCTCTTTGGATCGGTCTCATTCATGGTGACCACCTCCACCTTTGGAGGGTAGGGGATGTGCAGAAAGTCCTCTTTCTCAAGTCCCGCCCCCAGGGACACTTCACTAGAGTTCCCGACCAAAATGACGGCGATGCTGAGGGAGCTGATGAGTTTGGGGTTGATTGGGGGCAGAGCCTGTGGCCCGGGAGAGTACTGAGGGGGAATGACAACGCCGCGTTGAGTGCTGCCTCCCCTCGGGCCACCCTGCCCTCCTGGGGCGCCTCCTGGTCCTGAACCTGGACCTCCACCCCTGCCCCGAGCCCCACGAATGGGCTGCAGGAGCGCGAAGAAGATAAGGAAGAGAAGGAGCAGCTGTGGCCGAGCATTCGACCGACGTAATGTCTGTTTCAGGGGTGCAGCCGGAGGACGATGGGGGCAGGAGGAAGAGGAGAGGTGTGTTCCCCGAGGACAGGTGGGAGATGGGGGGAGGCTGACAAGCATTGTGGAGGAGTGTAAATGCCGTCCCTGCAGGAAGAAAGAAAAAAAAAGGATGGAAGGTATTAGGACTACAGAATGTACCCCAACACAGAGGGTAGTCATTAACTTAGTTGCTGAAGCAGAAATCCTCAAAAGCTGGGACCCAAATTCCTTCCTATATTGACACCCACCCTTTGTAAGAATATTGTGACGAACGTTTGAATTTTGATCTACGCCCAAAAAATTTATGGTGGCTTTATTTTCCCTTGTGCTCACCAATCAAATGCTTTGTATTTCCTCCCAAATGAAATGCCAATTAAATAGTTGAGTCAGAGCATCTTGGTGAGTGGAGC